TGCTCAAGAGCTTCATCTGAGTCAAGGAGCCAGGGGTAGATGAGAAGAAAGCAGTACACCTCATACGCCACGAAGTTGTTGCTGAGGCCTTGCGCTGAAAGGGACTGTTCTTTTCACGAGTCAGCGGTTGACATGAGGAGCCCGATCAGTCTTTGTTGCATGCCCTTCCCTTTCGGAACTGCTGTGGTCGACTAAAAGCTTTCATAGCACATGACATCTGCTTCGGTCTATGTGATCCAACTGCAATCTCGTGAATCTGCACAAGTATGGACAGCTGCCGTGCTCCAGTTCGCAGATTCGGCCAAATCTGCTACAAGTCAAGGAGACAAGCATGCAAAACCTATGCCATAGCAGCTAGCGTATGATGCAATTCCAAAAGATTTCACAACCCTGAGCCTATCCACACGATCTTGGCCGCATGGTAGACTAAGGATACAACAGCATCCATCTTCAGCAACCAAACCAGCCAGGGGAAGAAGGCTTCCCATGCTTTCTCCAAGCAACTGAACTGCTTGCTTGCAGGCACAATGCCAAACTTCACTGAGGGCACTTGACCAAGAAGCTTTGACGAGAGCCTGTAGCTGGCTTTCTCTAAGCCATCCCTAACCTTCTGAACGCGCTTTCCCGAGTTGCACGCCACATCTTCAAACACCATGAAAACGGCACTGGCCACGAACCACAGAATGCTCCCATAGATAGCAAGGGTAAATGTGATGCTCAGGCTTCCAAGGGGTGATCTCTGGCTTTTGCTCGACAGACCAGCAAGAGCTCGGTCAAAGCATGTCCAGAGGATTGCAGCACCCAGGAAAGACAGTGCCATGTAGCCGACAATCACAGATAAAACTGTGAAGATTGGTGGCTGGTGCTCCTCCTGCAGGTGCATCATGCGGAAAACAGGCACTGCAAGGAGCGGGCGACAAGCTCCTGTAACTCCAAGTGCGAGCCACCACTGCGCGGTGCCACTAAGAATCTGGTAGGCGATAATAAAAGGGCCCAATACTGAAACTGATGCAAGGAGCTCTGTAATCAGAATGCACAGGCTGGCTGTGTGGACAATGCACTTTTCCAGGCAAGAACTCCAGTGAGTCATAGTAAAGGTCAGGATGCCCAAAAAGATCCCAGGAGGCAGGGCCAGCAGAAAGAATACCAAATACAACCCCAGGTGAGAAACGTACAGAGAAGTAAAACTACAACTCACCATGGTAACAGTTGTGCTTGCGATTGCTGAAGTAGAGCTGCCTGATAAGACCATGATGGCATGCACAGCTGTGCTCGGATAGATTTCTTCTGTATGCTGGGCAACCTGCTTCCCCAGGTCCTGACCAAGGAACATCATCATCGGCACGCCGACCAGGCATGCGAACTGGGACAAGCAAACAAATGCGCCGAAGCAAATGTAGCCCAATTTGGTCCCACTGGAACTTGTGTCAAATGGAACGCCAAGTTTACCTGCACAATTCTGCAGATTCCGCAACAACATGTCCCACATCTCTTCTCCTGCTGTGGCAATGACGAGACAGCGAAGAATGCCTGTGAGCGGAAAATATGCCAGCTGGAGTAAAGTAATAAAAGCCGACACATCCGTCCACCACTGTAGACGGTTGACGACTTGGCTCAACCCATACTTCTGTGACACACCATATGTGGCAAAGCTTGAACTGGAAACTCCTGCAAATGGACCACTACAGCACCAACCCCACACCAGTACGGAGAGAACCATCACGGATGTCAGGTGGCAAGCCGATTGATGCATCGCACACCTGCACAGCAGCAGCCACAGCATCAACATGATAACACGCGTACACCGCTGTCTCCAGTTTTTCAAATGGTCATGCCCCGAAGAACAAATCAGGCCACAACAGCGCAACCTTGGATGTGGATCGTTTGGCGCTGCTTCGAAGGCTGTCTCCGGGGCGACACCCTCAACCTTCGGAAATTCAATGTAACCCCCTTGGTCCGCTTCGCGGCCTGACGGGTGAGTTGTCACATCTTGGCATCGCCCATCAGTCACGTGACACAGGATGTATTGTGCCAAGAGCTTAGGAACTATCACAGCAAAATCTTGGAGCCTCTCATTGATGTCAGGGATGAACCGGCTCAATGCGGAGCTCACGTCAGAATCTGTCGCGGCTTGTGACAAGGGAATGCTCGGGCTGCGCAATCGCACTTTGTGCACAAGTAAGGAGGTGTGACTGCTCTGGAAAGCAGCATAGATGGACAGATTGCCACCATAGTCACGCCGGGCCACGGCTGTGGCTGAACCGCAGAAGTCGCCAACGAAAGCCTCGAGAAGTGGTTGCGCGCGTGCAGCACACTGCATAGTTGTGCTTGCACTTTGGACCTCCAACATAAACGAGTTTTGCATGTTCGTATCACGGGAAGCCACCATCAACTTGATGTCTCCTACCCGCAAACGGTGAGTGATCTCAGCATCGTGAAACGTAGAAGTTGCACTAGACACATAATCTCTCAGCTGCTGAGCTTGCGCCCAGTACAGACCTTCCAGCAACGCGGTGGACAGCCGCACAACGCCACTGCTTGACTTTGGGAGGGTCGCCGGAAGGCCATGCGAACAAATCTTCTCCTCTTCCCCACCAATGTTTGCGCTCCACGTTGCTGGACTCTTAGAGCGCAAGACGCACTGTTCAGGCGTAATTCTTGACCATTCCTCGCCCAGAGAAAGGACTTGGATTTGATTTCTTTGTGGAACGACCCCGCGGCCAAAGGAGACTTTCAGCAACTTCGGGTCAATGGCCAGCCAAAACTTCTGCTGAACACGCCCGGGCACATGCACTGTCCGTGGTGGCGCACTTTGTCCCCGAGGCAAAAAATGCTTAACAAAGCTGAAGATGCTGACGAAGCTGGGGATCCAACTGCCGAATGAGTGTCGATCTGCAGGTGAGGCTTGAGCACCTGAAGTCATTGAATGACATCATTCAACTTAGGCTTCTTAGATCACTTCCGCGACGTTACCTTTGCAAATGGTTACTATAAAGCCCCCTGAGAGCTGATGCTCTTCACCAACGAGCTAGCGGCCTATCCCGCTTGCACCCGTGGGATCCCTCAAAAGACGAGAGCATGACCTGCTGCTATGGCGCGAGCATGACTGGCAACGTTCAGCGTGACCGTGGTCGTATACTGCCCGTTGTCGCCTCTGTGCTCTGAAAGTTGCAGACTAATCTTGCCTATGCTTGTGTTCACAGCAACTTCAATCTCAGAGCTTCCCGAACAAGAAAATGCCAAAGATGCAAGGCTGCTTCCCTGCGAAGTTACCAAGGAAGCGGTGGCGCCTGGTGCTGAGTAGAGGCGCTGATACTTCAGGTGCTTGTAGCATTTCTTCTGCAAGCCGTGATGTCTGGGAGCAAAGAGGGCGTCACTCTTGCCTTTAATACAAGCATCAAGGAATCCAGCCAAAACCAGGTCTGCATACATGACCTGCACCTGTGCCATTCTGACTTGGACAAAGACATGAGCGGCAGGTCCCAAATCCAGCTTCTGCACTAACTTGTCGCGTCCCCACCTTGTCTTCAGCCACTGCTGTTCAAGCTTTTGTTGAACACATTCGGTCACAGGCCCATCGTCAAAGTCCCGGACTTGCGGCAGAAATTTGAGGCAGGAGCCTTCAAATCTTCGTGGCTTCCTGCCCGCGCTTTGCCATTCCAAGGTCTGGGTCTGCAAGCTGAGATGGGCGCTAAGAATAAGTTCACGCCAGACTGATGCCCTTCCACTGCAACCAATAGTGACCGGACACTTACGTGGAGGTGGAGGGCTGTAGTCTCCTCCTCCGGCCTTCAGCTGCAAAACGGCATCAAATTCAACAGAACTGGGGCACCATTCCTCGCGCTCGTAGGTGTAGCTCCTCTCTTCAGCGCGCACAGTGAAAGGGATACTTCAATGAATGCTTTGTCGAGAAGGATCCAAGGACGCCTGCACTTGTTGCAAGTCAAACTGAACATGTGCATCTGGCTGATTTGCCGATGACACGTGTTTCGGTAGGCTCTCCAAAAATGGGAAGTAAAAGTGCAGATCTCTGTTCAAGCCTTCCTCGTTGATCAAGAATTTTGCAGCTTGAAACGTACTGTCGCGGGTGCATGGCCATTCTTGCGCCATGCTTCGCGGCAGGAAACTCATCCACAAAGCAAGCAGCTGCATCAAGGCTAAGCAACTTACAGAGCCAGGAAGCTTTGAGCCCAATAGCCTCAGTTCAACGAAAATGACAAAGCAATCCTAAACTCCATAGAACTAAATGCCATGCACCTACTGGCTCGAAAGCCAAGAGTGTAATCCACAGCCAAGGATTGAGCTGAAGAACTCCCACATTTCAAAATTCCGTGACAAATTAAGGCTGATCGGATGCTTTGCTGGCTGCATCGATTCCCACACCACTTGTTCACCCGTCTCGCACTGGTCTCACGGGCACACAGAGGATTACCCTCTCAATGCAGCTGCAGTCCAGACAGGCTAAGATGCAGTAGGCAGAACTCGAACTGAGGTATTCGGCTTGTACTTGTAACCCTCCACTTCCATTTGATCTGCCTCTCCAAAGTTGGAGTTCCTGCTACCACGGGCACGCATTGTCAGTACAAGGTCAGGGCCACGTGTAGCTCACGAAGCTGGAGCCTTAGGGAGGTCAAGTTTTTAGGAGGGCTGGCCGGGGCGATGGATTTTAACGCATACCCACGTTGACACTGTGACACGGAATTGTTGCAGCAGCCGTGTTCTTTGCCGTGCCCCCTCAAAAAGAACTTTGACCCTATCTATCCCTATCTAAGATGTTGAAGCTTATTGTTCTGTGTAGCATTGGCTTAATATCGATAACCCCGATTTGTCCTCGCAATGCTTTCGGCAATGCGTTCCTACATAGAAAGCGAATGCATCATCAAAAGCCGTGCCACTGGTTCGCTGCAATTCTGTAAGTGTTTGGGCTGCGGTTGCAACTGCTACAAGGCATGCTGCTTAGATGCAAGTCCGGCCTTGGCATTCGTGATCTTGTCGCCATGCTATGCTGAAGAGCTCACCGGCGCATGCTTCAGGGCAACATAGCCAGTGGGATTGCCGACCACCTCCACCACCCCGCTTGCTAACTCGTCCTCTGGAGCATCCATGATTGGACCTGCGCAAGCACAATCTCTTACACCTGAAGCGAAGCTGCGTGTACGAAGACCCCGTTCCCCCCGCAGTCAGACATCCCCATTCTGCAGAAGAGAACCAAACTCTTTCAACTTTTCCGTGTTGTGAGTAATTTTGGAGATTCATGAGCAGCTCGGTTTCAAAGTAGTATAAGAAAACGGACTGCTAGCATCACGATGCTCCCCGACAACCCGCCTAGTTCGAAACCCCACGTCACCACAGAGCCATCCTCTTTCAAAGCCGCATGTCCATGTTGGCTCGGCCAGCGGAAACATGGTATCCTTGGAGGGGTTCGTCATAAACAGCACTGCCGAACTTTAAGCTAGGGAGTGCCCTTGGCTCGGGAGGCTTCTGCCCAGAAGCGGTCCAAACCAAAAGGCAGTCGCCTAGACTTGCCATTTGCGACCGCCACAGGCATAACGCGGGCATCCCTGGTTTAGTCTACCAACAGCAGATGCGAGCCCCTCCAAAACCAAGCATCCTTGCCACACCACTCTTCAACTTGCTGGCAACTGAGCTGGAATCGCCTCACCCAGCACTCAGGCGCATCACGGTGCTGAATTGCGAACAACTGAGACTGCTGACCCTAAAACGGCCCAGGCCGAGCTTGTTACTGCACGTTATACTACCTTGCAGACCTTCCAGTCCTCCCCAGGCCTAGACAACTTCAAATACACAGCGCGCATCCTAACATCTCATGTGTGCAAGTAGTGGTAGTGCCGGGATGACTGAAAGTATGTCAGCAGCGCCTCCCAAGCTGTCCACCCCCCAGGTCACAACACGTCCGTCGGTTTTCAGCGCCGCAAAGGAACAGGCTGCAGGCGTCACGGACAGTACACCGCTCTCAAGCTCCTGAAGACTTCAGGACAGCAAAGGAGCAACAGAAGCGCTGGGACTACCCCGTCCTTGGCGACATCTTTCTCTATGTTGGCCAGGTAAGCCCCATCCTCCGCCACGCCCCAAGTTACCACTTTGCCTGGGCTTACCATCAAGCGAGGGAACCCGGCAGCATACTCAGGAAACCTAGGAACATGTTGCGGCAGGGTACCATCCTCTTTGACGGCAACAAAGACGTCATCGCTGGCAACAATCGAAACCACCCCAGAGGAGAGCTCTTCTTCGACAGAAAATGACTCTTGCGTAGCCTGCTTACACAGCTGCCATTTTCGGGCAAGAACTGCTCATGCAGGCGCCTCGTCGTCGGTGAAATGCACCACGAGCTTTCCTCCTTGCTCTGGGTGTCCCCAAGCCACCACCTTCCCAGTTTCCTGGCAGGCAGGACATGCAGAGGCTCCGCAGCCCGGGGGCGCTCAAGCCTCTTGGCAGCGGCTGGTTCCAGACAAATGAAGGCATGCACAAATGCCGGTGATGAGCCTCATGTCTGGAGTGCCGTACTGGCTGCTCATCTTGCAGGCTTTATCCGCTTTTGCTTTTTGCTCATTCCGATTGGTTGGCAATGCTCCGAGAAATGCTGGTTGGCGTCTTTTTGAACAAATGTGTTCTGGCAGGGACGATTTAAGGGATGAGGTGCGCGAAGGTTGTTGGTGAAGGCACGAACCACACGCGACCATTGTTGCAGTGAGCGCTTCCGCTATGCGGCAATGTTGCTACTGATGTTGTTGCTGGTATCGTGGCTTTTTCCTTCCTTGCTACAATCACCGCTTGTGACACATCCTTTTCTGCAAAACCTTCACCCGACTCCGATGGGGCAGAAAAAAGAGCACATAAGCAAGTTTCTGCCTGCTTCTTGGGTCACTTGTACAGATTTGGCCTTGGGACGTCCGCGCGCTATGTCTGAAAAAGCCCCGTGTGCCAAAAACACAAGAAAGGCAAGGACAAGCTGTTTTGTAAGGACATCCGCGACTTGGAAGGAGTATGTCCATGGAACTTTCAAAAGCCTATGTGGCTCCGCAGACATAAAAAAGCAAACTAATGGCCCGCAACTCAGCAACTATACTCTTACTTATAATGGCAGCCATATCTCTCATGGTTGTTTGCCCTGACCTAACTCCCACTCCCCCACTCCTCCTACGTACATGTAGCCACCTGCGCCACCGGCACCGGCACCGGCCGCCACCACCACCACCACCACCACCACCACCACCACCACCACCACCACCACCACCACCACCACCCCCACCCCCCCCGCCGCCGCCGCCGCCGCCACCACCACCACCACCTAGCACACCAGCAACTACTCACTAGTCTAGTCAGCTCTGCTGCTGCTTCTGGTAGCATTGGGACATCTGCCTTCAGGGCGGCAAAGGCACTGCCACCAGCACAAAGGCTCGTGACTCCGCTTTGAAGTTGCTCTGCAGCTGGGCCAAGGTCACCACCGCGCCTTCGCGCTCAAGATTTGAAGCACCAGGAGATGTTCCAAAGCGGCGGTAAAGACAAGACGAAAACCAGTGTCACAACAACAACAGGAGGCATGATTCGATGTTACCGCTTGAACTCGCACGTTGAGCAGCATTCATTCTTGCACGTAGTTTTGCCTCTTTGAATGCCAAGCAAATATTTCATGGATGTGATGTGCAACAGCTGCAGGACAACTGCGTGGTCATGTGGTGGCAGCTGTGTGGATCTCAGATTCTACCTGAGATGACTTCACGCATCGATTCTGCACAGCGAAGTTGGCTCTATGAGCTCTGCAAAGTCTGTGTTGCAGAACCTCCCAATCATTTCGGCGATAAGAAGTGCCGTGGAGACAGCCATGACGCACCCTATTGATAAGACGGGAGGCGATTGCCGCCTGTTACCCTGAAGAAAAGTAAGGACAATGTAGTGCCCCAGCAGTGTGCAACCAAAGCCAAGCATGAAACACATGGAAGCATAAGTTGGCTCCAGCAATCCAAAGACTTGGAAGGAGACTGCGGTAGCCATCGTTGTGAACAGAATCATCGTAGCAGCGGTGGCTGAGGCCACTTGTGGGGCTACACCAAGCTCCAACATCAATGGACCTTTGATGATGCCACCTCCAACACCGAAAAGGCCTGCGAGAATGCCAGCCATGCTACAGAGCAGCGGGTACCGTATGGTCGTCGCCGGCGTCCAGCGAATCTCCGTGGCGGCAAAGTCGTGGCCATCCTCCTCTTTGTCCAAGTTTTCGCTGATAAGCATATCTCTGAAGATGAGGCCAAAGCCCACGACCCAGGGAATCTGTGCCCAGCTGAGTAACCAAAAGCTGCCGGAGCCGCATCTGACACCCACAACAGACCCCTGACCACCACCTTTCAGAATTGTCAAGATTACGCAGCCCACAAAGCAGAGGATCAGCAAGAAGACTTTGAACCATGGAGTTCCTGCTCCGACCGTTCGAAGATGCACAGCGCCAACCAAGTTTCGTGACTCCTTCAGTTCCTCTTCGCCGTCACTCGGTTCCTCAACCTCTTCTGCATCCTGAGGCACAGCCTGGAGCTCAGCATCCTTCGTGTTTTCCTGCTGGAACATCTTGAGTCCTTTGTCTAGCGTGCGGAAGGACAGAAGGGCAAGCACTGCTGCCAGGAAGCCCATCATAACAAAATCTGCAAAATACTTCGAACAAAATGAGCCCAGGAAGGTCCCGGCTAGCGTGGCAGGCTCCATCATCACGATGATGTCCCAGTTTATCAGTGCTCGACCATGTTCATCCGACTTCGGGGCGTTCAACGCAGTGTTGGCAAAAGCCGCCCCAAGGACTGTGAAGTTTGACAGGGCAACGGCATGCTTTGGCCGAAAGCGCAAGAAGATTGTGTACAGCGGCACAAGTATTCCGCCACCACCAATGCCACCGCTTGCAGCGACAATGAGTCCGGCAGCGGCCACGGCAAAACAGAGGACATCCGCAGTGTCAGGAGGAAAAAGCGCCTTGTGATAAGCGAACATCTCATCCTGGGTATCGGCATGCAAAAGCCTGCTTTGTGAAAGCGTGATGTTGGAGCTTACGGAGAAAGGCGTTGCAGCCATCATGTCCGCAGAATGTGTTGAACGACCACGGTGTTCCTCCCGCACCAGGAGGAAGCTTTGGTTGTGGTCCCAGAGCCCCACTCTTTTGCCAGATTCACGAGCTTCGGAATCTGGCTTTCATGGCAAGGTATGGCAAGCTAATGATGGTACGCTCTGCGATTCTACCGAAATACGTGTCCTGGTGCTTGCGTGCGCAGCTGCTGCAATATCACTTCACGCTTTTTTGCAGAAACCTCGAGATGTTGCATGCCAAGATAGCAAGAGCCGTACGGTTCAGCCGGCGGAGCTCTAATGAACCAATCCAAGCACAAGCCGCCCCTACTGCATCAGCCTCTCTCACCAAGCTGGCTTATTCGGCAAGTTTGTAGCCGAGGTGCTCAGGATCGCCCCATGCGACCACGGAGCCGTCGGCTTTCAAGGCAGCAAAAGCCCCAGAAGAAGGTCCAAAGGTACCCACCACTGAAACCACATCCGCCTCAGAAAACTGCCCATGCAATGATCTGACTGGATGTTGCTTGCCTGTCTGGCACTGAACGGATTCCAAGGCATCCTCGAGTCAAGCCAAAGCAAGTGTTGCTGACAAGCCCCCATGGACAGGCTTCTATCACTCGAGGACATACAACAAAAGATCCAGAACCTGTTTGCACCCCGGACTGCTTTTGTGGCACTGTAATCGGCAAGTTGCTTTCAGAGACTCACTGACGGAGCTGCTGTCGCCGCCAAATTCAGCATTTCCCCAGGTCACAACCTGCCCGTTCTCCTGAGCGAAGGCTAGCCTTCCTATCAAGAGGAAAGGCGATTCTAATGGTCACCACTGCGAAGAATTGCGGTGTGTTTTTTCCCAAATGTGAGCCATGCCGAATCTTGTTTGCAAACGTCCGTAAAGGCATGTAAAGGCCCATGCTCCAGCCTTCACACCGGCAAAGGCCTCATTTGTGCGTGCGACCCAGGCAATGCCGCGCAGCTTCTCGAGGACAGCTGGAGGAGCCTTGCCGCCAGCCTTAGTGCATCCCACTCATATTTCGTGGCACACCCCAGCCATCGATTGCCATCAAGCTAGAGGTGGCCCCTGAAGCATGATGAGCTAGACTGGTGAGATACTTGGCGGCCGCATATTGCAATAAATGCGGTTGGGTGCTGTCAACCCTGTCCTGTACAGCATGTTGAGCATCTCATCAGTTTTCCGATTTAGCTTTGCCCGAGTGATGGGCTTTCCGCTTCACATGTCAACAAGGCCACCTTTCGCTGAGTTTGGGTGCCAAAACCCGCATGGGTCCAGCTACTGTAGCTGGTCCCTAGAAACAAAAGGCAAAACGGCAAGCCACCAAGATTTCAACGCAGGCAAGTGTCCAGCAAAGACGGATAATTACCAGCTTCAGCGCAAGGCATGCAGGGAGCGTAGGCACAAAGCAACATGACACTTGTTGGGAAGCACATGGACCTGCCTCGGGATCTCCCCACACCACGACCTCGCCGCCAGCCTTCAGCGCAACAAAAGCCTTGTCGTTTCCAAAGACCTGCTGGACGCCATCCTCGAGACCTGCCACACCTGCAGAACTGTAGCGAGGCCCACGCTTCTCCAGATTTGTGGCTACACAAAAGCGGCAGATCCTGCAGGTGTGCACAGCCTTAGCCTATGGCCCAGTTTTTGGGAGCGTGGCCTCTGGAATTGGCTGCGTCACTTTCAAACCCATTCCCAGTCCAGGTGACTACGGAGCCAGCAGCCATCACCGCCGCAAAGGTGTAGCCTGTACATGCGACAGACCTCGAAGTCCATGCACAACTTTCATGCATGGCAGCCTCCGTACTGTCTCGCTTTAAACTTACGATTTTAATCTGCCACAGTGCTTGATGTTGCCCTCCAGCTGCTCGGAGACCTGTGGCTGCGTTGAAGGACGGAAAGCATCTAGGCTCCAAACAACACCGAACACAGCCCGACCTCCGCATGCTGTGGCCCGTCGGCGCACGGGCCCCACACCACGGCACGATATGTCTTCGCAGTGATGACAAGTGTGATGGTCAGCGGATCTTCCAGAGATCCGCCTTCGAGCTTGGCTGCGTCGAGCAGAACATTGCCATTTTGCAACAGGACCATCTCTTGACTCCGGTCCACAGAAACTGACTCGTGCAGCTTCTCTCGTAGATTAACCACAGGCAGCGGGCTCTCGAAGCAAAGTGGCCCAAGCACTGCTTCACCGCCCACCCTGCAAACCAGCAATGTCGCCATGCCAGCCACAGGACAGCCTAAGGAAAACGCGATGATGACCAATGACGGGGCTTTGCCGTACGGAATCACCAACAGCGCCAGGAAACTCTAGCAGGCATGTTGCTTTATGAGATCCTGGCGAAGCCGAAGGCCAGCAAATGATCATGCTGCCGCTCTGCAGAAGTGCTTTCGCATAGCTGACTGGCTCAAGATTCACTCTTTGACGCACCACGGCTGTACAGTGTCCATGAAGGTCATTGCCTCAGGCTTGACCCTGCAGTCTAGGATCCCCAAACTCAGGGCCCACTTCTCCAAGGAATCGGATGTTGTACCTACCGCACTACCGGCCAATCGAAGCTAAGCAAGAGAACTCACCAATTTTGTATAAACGAGGATGCAGTAACAACCCTCACCAGCAGCAACAACAGGCATACAGCAGCAATGACGATGACGACACCTCGGGCGGCAGCGACGATACTCATGGTGAGAACATTGCAAAGCCCGCAGGAGGAGCAGCAGCCGCAGCGATGACTTCAGAAGCGGCAGCAGCAGCAGCAGCAGCAAGGTGCAAGCAAGCAAGATGCCACTAGCAGGTACAGTACCACGAATTGGTATCTGGCGACGATGAGTTTACACTTGGCGCTAGTTAGCGGCAATCGGTCACCAGCAGGCAGTGAACAGTAAACAGTTGACGACCCTTGTTAGTAGCTCACATGAAATGATTCTCGTCGCTCTTCTAGTGCAACAGCAGCAGCCAGAATCATGATTCACAGTCATTGATCATGAGCTCATGCTTTAGCTGATCTTAACAGATAGCACTTTGAACGACATGGCTGGGCTGGTAGTCGTGATTCGATTCTGGTAAGTATTGGGTTTTTGTTGGCATGATGACTGGAGGAATACCATTCCAGACAGTGGTCAAGCAGTGACGTTTCCATCCAGACGTCCCCTTCTGTGTCAATTTGTTGCATCCATCGCGTGCAAACCAGGTGTTTGCAGATGCTCATACGAGAAGGCCATCCACTGCCATCAGTAGCCAGGAAAACCATGGAGCAATGAACGCAGACATGGCGAAAGACATGATGCGAATAGCAATCATGAGGCAGTGCGTAACCCTAAATCCTAATTAGTAGTTTCCATTTTCTTTTTCCTCATTCAAATAGAGCCCCTGTATAACCCTAAAGATACCCACTTGAAATGCGGTAGCTTCAATTTTATTATTATTGCGATACAAGCTCTATAAAACCTCTAAACACTCCATAATCCTTGCATTCTGTATGTGATCCCTAAACCCTACAGCCTAATACCAGTCCTACTATTGATACATTCCGTACAAACCCCCATACAATCCCTGTTTCCATTTCATCTTCCATTTTCTTTTCCATTTGATACTCCACTATGGGGGGTTATATCCCTATATGTCCCTATATTCCCTTTGAAGTATATAAATTTCTATTCTCAATTTGTTCAACAAGCCTCGCTGGTGCCCGACAGTTCGAAGCCGCTGGGAAGGCCGTGGACGGCAATGAGGTGAAGACCTGGCCATGGACAAAAATGTATGGGTTATTCACCCATAAAGAGAGAGAGAGAGAGAGAGAGAGACAGAGAGAGAGAGAGAGAGAGAGAGATATATATATATATTTGTATATATTATAGATATGTACATACATGGGGGTATACATGTATGCGTTATATTGGGGCCGGGTTACTTATATACATATGTGTATATATATATAAATAAAGATGTATTATGTGCGTGTATATGTAATTGTATGTATATACATGGGCACTATATATATATATGCACAGACTGGGCATGCGAAGCATGCAAACCAGCTGCATAAGCTTTCAAGACCATATGAAAATGAAGAAATTGCCACATGGCCAAAAACATGCCGCATCAACAGCCATGAATACATGACAACCACAGTGGTAAGGGAGAAAGCCAGACAGTATACTTACTGGTGGTCAGTAGGGACTAAATCCCTGTACAATCCCAACATCATAATTCCTTACTCCCTACTAACGCCGAGTAAGTATAGCAGGGATTCCAGTGGTGCAAATGGCACTCCTTGCTGAACGGCCTCTCTGAAGTCACGGCCATCGATAGCGACCTCATAAGGGCTTTTCCCATCCCCTTCGGAGGACGTCTTGTTGGGTCATATAAAGAGTTTTGTATGGATTTACAAGCGTATGCGAGGTTTTATGGCTTCCAAGTTCGCGCTCCCTCTTTGGGGCTCTTACTTATAAATGGAGGCGACCTCCACTTTTGAAAACTCCCGTAGTTGAATTCTTCAAACGGTCACAACTTTCATGTGCACACACGATGCTATGAACTGAACGTTGAGAGAGACGTGCAGGCCTATGGGCATGTCAGCCAATGCACGACCATGAGCCCTTTTTGTGGGATCCCGGCCGAGGCAGCCCGAGTGTCCATGTCAACGACCTCTGAACTGCAAATCAGACAAATTCTTCTTGGAACAAACGCTGTCAGACTCAGCGTGTCATCTCAAGACTCGAAGCCATGCCTTATACAACCAGGACCAGGATGATGGGCTGCATATCTCAAAAAATGCATCTGGGGCCACTGCCCATCTCAAACAGCTGGTTGATCCATAGCCCTGCTCTGACATCTGCAGGCTTGTGCTCTCAGCACAGTATGGCTTGGGCTTAGAGGACAACGAGTGAGTGCTACACTGAGGTGCTTTGGAACCACACCCAACACTGTACCAGGTAGTACAGCTGAGCTTTCTCACATGAATCTTCACTTAGTCCAAACCATTATATATCCACACCCAAGAGTCCCAAGAAACGCCTCTGGCGGGGAACGCAGAATTCATCGTTCAAGTCCTGCCGGGCGCCTCAAGTTTGCCAATTTCCCGGCCGCAGGCGAAAAGCGCCTCGAAATACCCCCAGCATATAGTTCAGAGAGCACGCAAGGCTGCAACACGATCAATGAACAAAATGGAGATGCCGGCGATGGAATCGCGACAACAGGAACCACAAGCAGCATGGTTTTGGTTTGCTCGTTGAATTTCCGCTATTTGATTTTGGGATTGTGAATTTTGCTGCGCTACATTCTCGCTATGTGAAGTCTCGCTCGCCTGTGGTTCAATTTGAAGCAATACCCTCATCCAGGCTCACGCAGCATCGAAAGCAGCGGGTGTTTGGTGTTCCCTTCCGTCTTTGCTTGCCCAGGTGCTTAGCTTAAATCTTGATGCTGTGCCGCTGCTGTTGCTGCTGCTTGTTGAGTGAGAGAAGAAGCGAGGGCAGTTGTTGGCTGTAAGCGGTTTATCAATTTGTTCAGGATCCAGGTGGCTTTGAAGATCTGAGCCTGTCAATCTTCCTAGCCCCTGATGGGAAAGTTCTGGTATTTCACAAGTTCTTGCAACGCTCTTCTTTAGAAAATAGCAGCCTTGTGATGCTGAGCTGAATCTGCAACTGCGTTCAGACTCTGAGAGCAAGGCTCCGCCAGAGGCAATGCCCCAGGAGTGCTCAGAGCGACCCACGGGTAGTGTGAGCGAGGTCCACTCCTTAGGCAGGGTTGGAGGTCTTGGGCAAGTCCGCGGAGGCTTCAGGATTGAACGGTTGAGGGCAGTGACTTCTTGTTTGTTGCGATATCCTTGTTGCACCGGAAGCATGGATCGAGCACATCTCCAGGCAGTGCGGGTGGCATTTCTGGAAGCAGATGCAAACCCGACACACTTTGCAGAAAACTGTGCTGGGCCCTGCACATCAGAGACCAGCCCAACATAAGACCTCAACAATGTGAGATTTCAGCTTTACTGCAGCTGACGTCAACGCAATCTGCAAATGTATGGCTGGCAGGTCAGGGATCGCACCAGTCCGAACAAAGTTGCACCTGCGGATGCAGAGCATGACTAGAGGATTCTAGAGGATTCAGAGATCTCTCTTAAACAGTCTCGTCAAGCCTGCCCGACAAGCCTGCGTCGTCCAGTCTACAGCTGATACTGCAAGTCTTACCGCTTGCGTTCATTGCAGCACTGGCTGGAATACCTGCTACGCCTTCTGGCAAATCACTCAAATCGCTTGAAATAGAACAGGCTTCGGTCTCACAATTTATTACCGCCATCTGGGACAACAAGGGGACAGGTGCGTGCTTTCTTCCGCTTCCCGTATACAAGCCAGCAGCCGAAAGCCAAAACAGCTAAAACAAGCATGTTCATTCGTCAGGTCTCCTTCGAAACCGAAGCTCTGACCCGGTACCCCAAAACACCTTCATCATCCTTCATCTTGCAGCCCCAAAAAGCCCTGGAACCCTACAACCCCAGGACCCTGCCTTCACCTCCCAGGCATGGCGCCCCGCACGGAAGCCCCGCGAGGCCCTGGCTGCTGCTGCGGAGGCAGCTGCCCTGCGTCTATCCAAGCACGGGAGCTGCGGGATTAGGGTGTGCAGGGATGCAGTGATGTTTTGGGGTCTAGGCTTTGGGGTCAAGGGCATTTGTAAGGCTTAGCGATCTAAGGTTGAAGATCTTTCGGAACTATTATGCAGTATATCGACGTAAACCAAAGTTGAAGCTACTGCAGCGTACGGTATAGTAGGTTCCACTTTGAGACTAACTATCACAGCATTTGCAGAGGGGCCTGGATTATGGCAATGGCAATGCTTTTGGACATGCTGGGGCGTGTGATAGCCTGCTTCAGCATAAAGGCACAAGGAAAAGAAAAGAATACCATTAGTAATCATTGGTAGTAGTACCCAGCTACACAAACACACACATCCACATGTGGGGATGCCTATGCGAGTCTCTGTTAGAGAAAGAAGGTGTTCATTAAGAGTCTATGTAACTGTCGTTTGCCCAAATTGAGGCTGCTATTTGGTGCTCAGCATATTGAGGATTCAAATTCACAACGCAAGGCACATGCGTTCATTATACTGGTTGCGGCGATGCTCGCTGGCAAATGTCCCGCATGTGCATTTGCAATGATGTCGCCGTACCCGTACTTGCGCAGCAGGCATCATGAGAGGGCATGCCCCAGTATCAGCAGAAATGGCGGGA